GCTGAGATACATAATACAGAATCGGTGTATTCCTTTACTCAGAGCTTAACACTAGTTGCTTGACTCCAATACAGATATTTAGATTTCATAGAAAAGCATACCAACCACATTACATCGCAGCGATCGCTACGGTGACATAGAGATCAAACCTTCATGGCATAAACTAAGCCACTTTAGCATTTTATTCACGACAAACTGGAGGTATAATTTTAGTCTCGGCTATTGAACGCTATTTGGATCCATGGTTGCGAACGATTTCGAAAACGTCGTTATCACAGACAATAGTCTACATATTAGACAGAGCTAAGTTATGATACGATGTCTGGAGAGTTTATATGGATAATAGCATGTTCCTAAGATGTCTAAACTGCAAATATTTCCTTCCAGATCATCGTTGATTCCCCGAAACCGAACACTTATATGAAGACGGGAATTTTGTCAGATATAACTGTATATCGTCTTTGTATTTGTGACTATAACCTACCAGCTTCATTCACAGAGCGCCACCTAGGACTATTAACTGTCATGAGCTTCTACACCAGCACAAATTAAAACAAACAAAATTTATACGGAAACAGATCAAGACTATCTGTCCATAGTTATCTCTAGCACGCCAAAATGCCCACAGACATCCTCACCATACAAACCACAGTACTTTTTCGCTCCCAATCCTTAAAGTGTATATGGGTCCCCTATAGCGGATATACGGACGTGCAACAAACTACTTGCTAGAGTTAACAAAGTAATCTGTTAGGAGCAAACTTTGTTACCTTACACTGCTTTCAGTTGAATACTAGCGGAGGGTAAATCAGGCAAAAGCGTACAACATATTAAACATCCCATGCTACTCCGTCAAAGATTACATTCGAAACACACCATTGACACTTACGAGCTAGCTGTCAAAGAGAAAACATTTCTGCTGCTTTTGCCTGAAGCTAGCTCAAGGCTAACAGGACTAAATACTTCCTCAGTGGATGTTTTATGCGAGATTCAACAATCATATACACAGAGAGGGCCTAATGTCTTATGCATGGAATAGCTACAAATTATGTCCAATAGCGTGAACAATCGTCCCCACACACAATCGGCAGCCCATAGAAGGTCTCATGATTTATCTGTTATGAATATTATTTCCAACTTGTCTCCTTTTTATCATCTCTGTTCGTTTGTTTACTCTTTTACATTCTAGTTTCTTGCTCTACTGGGTTAATTACCACTAGGATTATGAGATGACTGTAGTTTAAAGTGTTAAGTTGTTGTGTGCTGTACACTTTCACATTATGACCAATCGGTCGTCTGCATGGCAGCGTTATAGCTAATATTTACAGCGACTCTGTTACCGTGAGACGAACAATTTCACATGAACTAAAATATGTCGACCCACAAACAACTATTGATTTCTCTAGGAACGATGCAATCACGTGACTAAACTGTCCTCTTCGGACTCCGCCTAAGGCCAGAAGGTATTTCGCAATATCAAAAGGCTTGCGAGAAGTGATTGAAACAATCATTTTTAGGGTATTGTGTATTGAATATCTGGTGTTGAAAGGTCATTAGCCATCGGATTGCCACTTTTTCAAAAATATTCGGGGCTTGCACTATGTGTTTTAAGGTCGCTTGTCCTAAGTGTGGAAAGACTACATGGAGCGGTAAGAGGCTGTTTGTTACTTAATTCTTTTGATTTTTTCTCACGTGTGTGACATCAAAGAAATGAATATCAACACTAGGATTATGAGATGACCATATTTTGAGGTGTTAAGGTGTTTGCGCTTAACCAGTGAAATTCGGCCATAGAGAAACAAAAAGTGAGTGTCAATGCAGACTCGTTTGCTTAGTTGCAGTCCTCGACTAAGAAGAAGGGTTTTATTTAAAATACTCCATTGGTGAACTTTAGTACATTCAATAATTGCACTTCAGTTCACATGTCGCTACTATTCATTGGAAGATTGGTAGAACTAATAGTTAATTTGTTTAAGAGGAAAAATAGTGCCTTTTGACACAGCTTGGTGACCTTTGCTTTTACCGTTTATCAAGCCGTCTGGACACAGTTTACTGTCACTCGTCCATAGATTCAGAATTGAGTCCAAGTTACTATGACGACCGAGTTTTATCTGACTTAAAAATCAGACAGTTGAGATCTCTTTATCTACTGAGAGCGTTGAACATGGTTGTATGGTAGAACCAAAGTTGGAATGTAGATATTTTTCGATCTTGTTCATAATGGCATTTCGCAACAGTACAAAGTGGTGATTGTATGAGTCAGCAACCCTGAGGCTTCTGTACAATCATTCAAAAGTAAGCTATTGATAATATTATATTAACGGAGACATCATTAGACGATATCATTATCCTTTGAGCATAAAGTAAAAGAATATTTCATCAAGATTATTTCGAGTGCTATTAGACATATGAAGGCGGTTGTCACCTTCAGGCTGTCTACACCATGAAAGGATATTTCTTCGTGAGGAGCCTGGAAAGGAAGAAACGTTAGTGATAGTCTTAATGAATTGAAAATGTAATAGCAGGGCCAAAGGGGCAACTACTTTAGGCCGATCGCGCGAAGCCTTTTTATGGAAAGCTCTTAATTTGTCAGCTCTGTGCTTTTGAAATGCTTTACGGACGGAGTAAGATGAGATATGAAATTTTCAGGGTCGACCCTTGCTAACCGCTTTCCCTTGTAAGAGACCAGCATCACCACAGATTCTAGTTGACCGACGGAAATACACTACTGCTATCACACTCTACATTCAGTAGTATGACTTCGCCCCGGACCTTAAATTGCTGCTTTTAGTATTACCGTTCTTCAACCGACGTGGTTGGGATGATAGATCCTATTAGTACATGTGTTCCAGTATATATAGCTCGATTGAATCATTACGATAGGCAAGCCCGACCACCACGTCAAGGTAGCAGCTAAAGCCAGGAAAGAGTATTTCAGTCAAAAAAATACCAGACAAAGCCTCTGGAAGTTGAAAAGTAATTCTACTCAATAGTACTTTAGGTTAATGTGTTGCGAATTCATTTTACATACCACCTTGATGTTAAACGAAGAAAGGGGATAAAGCGAAGTGATTTACACTCGTCCGTCAGTAAAAAACGTATTTGATCAGCTTCATTCTAGGCGATAAGTTGGGATAGAATACACTGAAAAATAAATCTGATTGAGTATACAGAACATGGGAATTTAAGGGATTGTCATTTTAACTACACGGAATGTCCGTGATACATTTTCACTTACGATAAATAGCCGTAAAACCCAATGGCAGGAAATGAGTCGTAAAATTATTCACATGTTTCCCATCACTTCAACAATAGATATTGATGTGCACACAACCAGAACATATCAAATCATATGAATATACAATAATACAAGATATAGGTTTCAACAAACTCGAAACAAATAAGGATTGATTCATTGGTCCAGTTTGTTACTCACGAATAAGCAGAAAACATTTCGCAAGACGTAAAAGCTATGTGATAAAAATAAGTTGCAAAAAACGTGTTGTGGAGATTTTTAGTAATAAAATTAAATCTTTGTCATATAAGTGATTAATTTCAATTCTCATTAAACAGGACAATGATTAGGGAAGGCATTATTACACTGGCCTTTATGATTGTGTTAAAATTAACATGCGGTAACGTGTTCGTGATATCGTGCCGATAAAGCAGACCAAAATGCTATTTTTGAAACCAGTAGGATACTGAGCATTATCTATCCTAATGAATTTCTGCATTACCATTATCAGTGCTCTATCCGCAAATTATTGGGGATTTGCGTGTAAACCCAGCACCCGTTTGCATCGTCTGGACTCTTATAAAAACAAATTATGAATTTGTTTACACGGTTCGGTGCAAAAGTTCTTATGGGAAAAAATACCTACTTTATTTTCCTTTAGCCTCTTGAATAGTGTTGGTTGTGGACAACAAGTTTATCAGTCATCCGTAGTAACTTTTTATAAAGTGTTTTGTATGGTGTGATGGAGTATCTATTCGTGGTCGTTATCGTTCTTTTTTTACGTAACTTACATTTTTTATCTCTCCCATTCTCATTGTTATTGTGTGGCGCATATATATCTGGTGCCCCTTGTACCAATATTTATGTGTTCAAATAAAATAAACTAGCTACTCCATAACTGCACACTACATATTGAGTTAATCATCACCCTCTAAAAGATCTTTTAATCTTTATATATACAGGATGTGGAAAGCATGTAGAACAAGTTTTGAAAGATGTACGTCCAGAAGATCGATGTCAGTGCCCACGTTCCTAAGTAGCTCATGTGTTTCTACATTGTACAACGGTTCAAGTGGTTGAGTTGTATTTTTAGTTTCGTACTACTTACAAGCTAACGTATTTTTCTTATTGATAACTTGTTTATTTTTGGTTTTAATTTGTAGAGTTCAATACTTTTGTGTGTTATATTATCCTACTATGGCTTTAAATTAAATATAACACAATTCCCGAATACTTATTAGGCTTATTGTATTTCTGCATCATCTCTCCACGAAATCATATTGTAATAGTCTTGTGTAAGAAAATCATTATCAGTAAGACATTAATTCTCTCTAATGGTTAATCATCTGTTGGGATACTCAGAAAAATATCCCAAAAACAATTATCCGGTTAAGTCTAACGCTACCCTTGAACGCTAAATGGTGTCATTTCCCTATTGGTCGTTTCCCTACTGATCAATATTTATTTCGCGTGTCATTTTCCTATTGGTCAATATTATTTAACGTGTCATCTTTCTGTTGGTCAATATTTATAGTAATCCTAACTGTATAAATATGCATTTGTTTGTAAATCATTATTCTGCTGCTCCTGACCCCATAAACGGTTTTACATCTACGGTTCGTGTTCTGATATATTGGAGATTGGGAACAGTATAGGGGTCGAACTCGGATATCTGAAGCTTGTCAATCGGTAGAATTTAGAGTAGCCAACTCGCGATTCACAATAAATTGGCGACGGAGATTTAGCAACAAGTTGGTGAATAACTATGGATCCAGCCAAATTAGAAAAATTGTTCGAACAGCAGCTGAAGCTGATGGAGATGATTACTCAGACGCACATATCTTCTCGAGTCCCAACTACACCGACAATTCCTGAATCAGTTGATGGTATTACCAGTGGTATTTCAGAATTTCTTTATGATCCTGATGCCAACATTACATTTGATACCTGGTTCAGACGTTATGAAGACCTTTTCAAAGTTGACCTTGCTGACAGAGATGATTCGTGGAAGGTGCGTCTTCTTCTTCGTAAACTTGGTCCATCCGAGCTGGATAAGTATTGCAACTTCATTCTACCGCAGAACCCACGCGACCGTTCATTCGATGCCACTATTCAGTCCCTCAGCCAACTTTTTGGTGATCATCACTCACTCTTCAGTACCCGATATCGCTGCTTAAAACTGGTCATGAATGAATCTGATGACTTCCTGACCCACGTCGGCGTTGTTAACCGTGAGTGCGAACGGTTCAAGCTCAGATCCCTCACTGAAGACCAATTCAAGTCCCTAATACTCATATGCAGTCTTCAGTCACCCAAATTCTCCGACATCAGAACTCGGTTGCTTAACCGCCTTGAACAAGATCCAACACTGACACTTAATGCGATCATAGACGAATACCAGCGTATCATCAATCTGCAGCGTGACACCACTTTGGTTCAATCTGGGGGCCAGGGTGGTTCCGAAGTTCATGCTGTTCAGCACCAAAAAAAATCTTCGAGATCGACAAACTCGAGTCCTTCGAACGCCAGCGCTGTTTCTATCTCTAATCACTCTAAACCGGCTCAGAAGAAGCCCCCCTCGCCATGTTGGCACTGTGGAGCCTGGCATTATGTGAAGTTCTGTCCATTCAAACAGCATGTGTGCGATCGCTGTCAGAAAGTTGGTCACAAAAGCGGCTTTTGCAAATCCAACCGATACAATAACCGTCGAAATGTACAGACGCAGCGTCGTTTTCACAAAAAGCCGATTACCTCATCAAGGAGTTTAGCAGCAGTATTCCATACTCATGCCGCGACTCGACGCAAATTTCTGACCCTCTCAATCAATGGTCAGCCAGTTCGTTTGCAGTTGGACACTGCATCAGATATCACCATTCTGTCGAAAAAGACTTGGCGAACCTTGGGTCAACCTCCCATCAAACCATCTTCTCAGACAGCCGTCAGTGCCTGTGGGGGTCATATCCGCCTTCATGGTGAACTTTATTGCTGCATTTCATTCAGAGGTACAACCTTCAATGGGACATGCTACATCACCAATTCTCCGCTAAACCTTTTAGGTTTAGATTGGTTCGAAGAACTTGGTCTCGCTGATCTCCCCATTAGCGCTGTCTGCAATCAAGTCCAAACTACTGCTTCTACACAACAGCATGCTGAAGACCTTCGAAAACGATTTATTGAACTATTTAAGCCTGGTCTCGGACTTTGTTCCACAACTGAAGCTGTTTTAAAACTGCAGTCAGAAGCTACGCCAGTTTTTCGCCCAAAGCGTCCAGTCCCATACGCATCTTTACCTCTGGTTGACGCTGAACTTCAACGTTTGGAAACTGAGGGTGTCCTAGTACCTGTTTCTTATTCATCATGGGCTGCACCAATTGTGGTTGTAAAAAAATCCAATGGTTCCATACGTATCTGTGCAGACTTTTCCACAGGACTCAACGCGGCTCTACAACAGCATCACTATCCGCTGCCGATCCCAGATGACTTATTTACTATTTTAAATGGTGGTACCTATTTCGCTAAATTGGATCTGGCAGATGCTTACCTTCAAATTCCAGTTGCTCTCGAATCCAGAGAGTTGTTGACAATCAACACTCACCGAGGACTTTTTCAGTATACCCGGTTACCCTTCGGTATCAAAACTGCTCCAGCGATCTTCCAGCAGATCATGGACACTATTCTGGCAGATGTTCCTGGTGTTGCTACATACCTTGACGATGTGCTCATTGTCGGCTCAACTGCTGATGAATTGCATACCAGAACCCACTTAGTTCTGCAACGCCTCCAGGATAATGGTTTTCGCCTGCGTCCAGAAAAATGCCAATTCTTCTTACGTTTCGTTAAGTACCTGGGGTTTGTCTTTGATGCTTCCGGACGACACCCTGATCCTCAAAATACTTACGCAATCCAACAAATGCCTGCCCCCACTGATGTCTCCTCACTGCGATCATTTTTGGGAATGATTAGCTACTATTCAGCATTTCTTCCATCACTGCATGACGTACGATATCCATTAAATCGTCTGCTAGAAAAGAATGCTACTTGGAATTGGTCAACGCAATGTGAGTCAGCCTTTTCAAAACTTAAAGCCATGCTAAGTTCCAATCTTCTGCTAACCCACTACAATCCGAAACTACCCATTGTGGTTGCTGCTGACGCTTCAACACATGGACTGGGTGCCGTACTCTCACATGTCTTTCCCGACGGGTCAGAAAAAGCGGTGATGCACGCTTCGAGAACACTAACACCTGCTGAGAAACGCTACGGCCAGATAGAGAAGGAAGCGTTAGCCCTAATTTTTGCTGTCCGGAGATTCCACAAATTCATTTATGGGCGCCGTTTCACCTTGCTCACAGACCACAAGCCGTTGTTATCAATCTTTGGATCAAAGAAAGGCATTCCTGCCCATTCTGCTAATCGTCTTCAACGTTGGGCGTTGGCGTTATTGGGGTACGACTTCGACATCCAGTATCGACGTTCCGAAGATTTTGGTCAAGCGGATGCACTGTCCAGACTTATCAGTAACCATTCTACCACTGATGAGGACACACTCATAGCCATAGTATCAACCGAAGAGGATTCCGGTGCTACACTATTGGCGAATGCCGTTCGAGCAATGCCTGTTACCGCTGAAGATGTTCGGGAAGCTACCAGAGAAGACCCGATTATCCAAGAAGCGATCACCTATGTTCAGAGCAGATGGCCAGTTAAGCAGCTGAGTGGTGATATGCAACAACTAGCGAATCGTCGCAGCGCTCTCTGTATTGTTAACGATTGTCTGATGTTCGGTGATCGCGTAGTAATTCCAACAACTCTACGTTCCAAAGTCCTACGCCAATTCCACTCTGGACACCCAGGGATAAACCGTATGAAATCCATCGCTCGCAGCCATGCATATTGGCCGAATATGGACAAGCAGATTGTCGACTTCGTCAAAAGATGTTCACATTGTCAAAAAGCTGCGAAAAATCCTCCTAAGTTGCCTCCAGTACCCTGGCCAAAGTCAGAAAAACCCTGGTCGCGAGTGCATATTGACTTCACCGGACCCCTAGATGGTACCACATACCTGATACTGGTTGACTCCTACTCCAAATGGCCGGAGATATTGCCAATTGCGCCACCCTCTACAACTCGAACCATCAAACTCCTTAATCAGATCTTCGCGCAGCATGGTCTTCCAGAAACAATAGTAACAGACAATGGTTCACAATTCACATCTAGCCAATTCCGAGAATTTTGCCTGCAAAATTCGATCAACCATGTTCGTTCTCCGCCATATCACCCGCAATCTAATGGGCAAGCTGAAAGGTTCGTTGATACATTTAAACGAGCCATGCTTAAAGCACGAGGGGAGGGGACCACAGAAGATATCATAGAACGATTCCTAGTTGCGTACCGGACGACCCCGCATGACTTATTGCCAAACTCCAAATCCCCTGCTGAGATGCTTATGGGGCGAAAACTGCGGACAGTTCATGTGCGATGAAACCCAAGCAAGTGGCCCAGCAAAGCCCTCAGATGAAGAATATTCGAATTCCCTACGAAGTTGGTACAAAAGTGTATGCGCGAGATTATAGACACGGATGCGATAGATGGGTAGAGGGTGAAATCACACAAATACATGGGAACGTCATGTATGATGTCAAGGTGAACCAAGAAATCTGGACCAGGCACCACAATCAACTCAGGTCAAGGGAAGCGAAGGAGAAAGAAGCAATTACAAAACACGTCCCACTCGACTTGCTGTTGGACACGTTTCAACTTCCGCCAATACCTCCAACAGAGACGACTAAGTCATCTACTCAAGTAGAACATCCTTCTGGTTCTGTGTGGTTGCCTCGGAGGTCGGATCGCAAAAGAAGACACCCAAAGAAACTTCAAGTAAACCCTCGGTTACGTCGCTATTAACTTCTCCAAAGGGGAGGTGTTGGGATACTCAGAAAAATATCCCAAAAACAATTATCCGGTTAAGTCTAACGCTACCCTTGAACGTTAAATGGTGTCATTTCCCTATTGGTCGTTTCCCTACTGATCAATATTTATTTCGCGTGTCATTTTCCTATTGGTCAATATTATTTAACGTGTCATCTTTCTGTTGGTCAATATTTATAGTAATCCTAACTGTATAAATATGCATTTGTTTGTAAATCATTATTCTGCTGCTCCTGACCCCATAAACGATTTTACATCTACGGTTCGTGTTCTGATATATTGGAGATTGGGAACAGTATAGGGGTCGAACTCGGATATCTGAAGCTTGTCAATCGGTAGAATTTAGAGTAGCCAACTCGCGATTCACAATATCATCCCAACCAATTTAACTTCGCCGACTGCGTAATCATTTCGTGATCATATGCAGAAGGAATGAGATATAAATTGGCTTTGATGCACACATTTACTAATATTCCATACCAGATTATCGGTTATATCAGCTGTTCATATGAGTTAAACTATAAAGTGTACATAACTAAGTTTCTGAATCGCAATCGACGTGAGCGTTCAATTCATTTAAAACTGCACTCGTACTCTATCCACGGTTTGGTGCTGTGGGGTATAGTTTCTCAAGACTAGATGTGTGCGTCTGTCGAAAGGACATTACTATACAACATTTGGCATAAGTGACACTTCTTAGGATCTGAGCAGTATGTTTTCACTGTAGAATTTGCTTACTGTAAGTATTTATGTCAGACTCATGTTTCCTAATTAGCTAAACGTCAACACCCTGAGACATGCATATATATCTGGTGCCCCCTTGTACCAATAATAATGTGTTCAAATAAATAAAATAAAAACCCTGAGACATGTGATCTCACTGACTGCAACATCGTTGGGTTATTCAGCAATCGAAACATTGACAGTCATGGAAGATTTAAGGAAAGGTATGAAAAGTCAGTTATCAACATTCGGAAAAGTAAATGTTATTCATCTTGTGTACATAAATATTGTCCTTTTTAGTTTTGTCAAAGAGCATATCTTAAATAAAGTTCATTTTAGTCACTTGGGAGATAGCTCAACGGGGTAAAAATCAAAGGAAATCTCTTAACTTCAAAATAAGACTAATGTAATGCTTAATATTGATCCAACAATTAGA